TAGGAAAATGTCAGCTTTTCAAATGCAAAGTACTTTTTCAACTAATGTAATTACTTTCACTTGCGTTGATCTGAATTAAATTTTCTATCACCTGCAGGCAAAACTCTAAATGAGACACTGTACCTGTCCTTTTACTGTAAAGTATGTATGCGTTCCACACAAGATGACTTAATAAGTGAATAAACAGATTTTTGTAATGACGTTTTTGCTGTTTTCTTGCAGACGGATAATATGAAAGTGACTGGTCTGCTTTGTCAACACCATTCATTGTACCATTACATTCAATGACAGCTAAAGGCTTTTTCACGACTTTATTTTGTTTATTAACTTCAATCACTGCAGAGTTGTGCACTGTTGATAGATACACACTGTTTTTGTATTGGTCCATTTCAGTGCCATCATCTTTCCTTGTTGGAAAGCTATAATGTCTCCTTTCTTAACTTTCATTGCTTTTACAACCACTGGTACATTTTTTTTTGTGATGGTCAGAGTTCTGTATACATCTGTTCTGTACCATATTAAAATGTCAGCTAGTTCAGGAGAATTGTAAAAACCTGTCCACTGTCAAACAGTATCCTCTGTCTAAAGGAGCATCTAACAGTGACAATACAGACTTCGTGGTAAGTCTGTATTAATTGTATTTACTAACAAAACTGGTGTCTTTCTCAGTGTATACTATACTACTCCAAATATAACCATTTCCTGATTCACAAAGGTGAAACATTTTTATGCCACATCTTGCCCTTTTGGATGGTATATACTGCTTTCAGCTGAGTCATCCTTTGTAAGGCAACAATGATTCACCAATACTGATATCTCTTTAGGGAACATAAAATGTTTGAAATTTATTAACATACTAAAAACATTAAATATTTTCTTCAGTTTTTGAGGACATACATTCAGCCAATGAATTGCCAAAAAAATGAAGGAATTTCATAATAAGTGCATACCATTTCTCTGACATAATTTTGGAGATGAAAGGCATGCTGAGTATTGCCTTGTGGTCCAAAACCACTCTTGTTTTTTCGTAAGATGTCTAGCAGCAGTAATAAGGCCAAAAACACTTTAATTTTGCTTTCATCTGTGTTGGTCCACTTTTCACATTTAGACGATGGTGTTCTATTCGATCTAAATATACTGCCCAGCTTAACGATTTCTTTCATTCACTTGTTGCAATAAACTCATAAAAAATTCATGCAATAAACTCATTGTCTGCAAAAAGTTCAAAATATTCCAAAGAATTTTCATTAGGTAATGACACTTTGATTCCCAGATCTCCATGGAAAGGAAATCTTGCATATTTATTTGACACCAGTCTCTAACATATGTGATGCCACAACTTGAACCTGAATCACTATCAAATTCTGATGATTCATAAGATTTAATATCTGAAGAAAGCAGTGCATCTTCACTATCAGAGCCACTCTCTATTACATAACTTCAAAAATAAACTTATGTTTGATAACTTTAAAACTATAACTGACTGAAGAAAGCTTAAGTATGAAATGTGCAGAATACAAAAATGTTAACTTCGACATAAGGATTAAAAAAAAAAAAAGCACTAAGAATTTTCATTACTAACCTCAAATTTAAAGTACCTCGGCTATTGTTAAACTGTGTCTTTCCCCACACGTAATTAGGTTATCAGGTTTTCAACAAAATCTCTTTATGTATACAAATGCTGTTTTACTACATACCCTATTTTATCCAATAAACTTAGAAAAAAATATTTAACCATACAATATGATTTTATTCATATCAAATAGAAGAGAGTAGTTTTGAAAAGATAAGGGAACTTTTGAAGTAATTTGATTCCTGCCGAAGGTTGCCATGAACATATCAATTTACAACTGCCAGCTTTTAGGAATCAGAGAAACTCAATTGTCTGTAGTTTCTGGGAATGGTGATGTATTCAAGCTTTTTCCTCTTTCTGCCCTAGGAAACAGCTCATAGGAGAATTCTGAAAAATCTATAACACTTTCATATATGTACTCATACCCTGATATAAACAATAGCATTTCTTTATTTAAATAACTTTGAGCAAGCAAATTCAGTGAAAATCAGAAAACAAATACAGTCAAAAGTTTTTAATCCTGACGTCCATAATCCAGAATGATCTATAATCCGGACCTCAAAGCTAAAAACTTTCTGCGTTTACGCATGCGCATAATACATTTACACATGCACGTTTAATGTATAACGGATGGTATAAGCTAAGCTAAAATTATCTAATAATTTATTTCAGTTACTGTTGCAGATTGCATTGTTCCTTAATCTTCTAATTGGATCCGGCTTATTATTTTTTGCAGACTGTTAGAGCAATTTTATATAAGTAAGCTTGAACTTTCGATTATGTTCTAAAAGAATTTTCGAGTCTGGAGCTGCCAAAGGATCCACAAAGCGAAAGCATGTTTCGATGTCCATCAAACAAAAAGTGGAATTGCTGCAAAAAATGGATAAAGGCATATCCTTTGTTTCTCTAACTATTCCGAAATCTGTTTATCAATTTCACGATGCTCTGCGGGGGGGGGGGGGGGCATTGTGACACGCAATAACCTGGAACTTGATCTGTTAGCACTATCCTTATCTTCAGGGCAGATGTTTTTATATTATTCAGCTTATAATTCCTTACTAAATGTAGTATTTCATCTCGATGTACTCTGTCTTTGTTACAATTTAAATCAAATTCCTCATCATTATAAATATCACGAATACACATTAAATAGTTTTCTGGTAGCAATTTTCTAATTTCGACTATGCGTAATGTATGCTTTACGCATGTGCATGTTGAAAGAAATGTTTAATGTTTAAGTAAACAAATAAATATTAAGGTTTTTTTTTTTTGTAAATTTATCCTTAATATAATTGCTCTTTTACAATAGGTTTTATATTTTTAATTTTAAGGCTCTTACAATTTAAACATGAATAATCTGAATCGCCGAAGTCCTATGGTCGATAAGACTTGACTGACATACTTATAAAGCAGGTTATCTCAGTAAATGAAGGGAATTAAGTACCGGCGATGGCAAGATTTTCCCATGGTTTGAAGACTAAGTAATTTATTCCTTTCAGAAAATTTTCTCGGAAAGCAAATCATCACTTACGGATAGAAGAATGTTCTAAGAACTACGGGATAAATTTATAATGGGAATAGAATAAAAGAATGAAAGAAACTCTTTTCTGGAATTTCTTTTCTAGAAAGTTGGTTTCAGTATCACCTTTTTAAGGAAAATGAACAGAAATGGATTTGAAAATCTAACTATCCAATATTCTGCATTTGTAAATATTTATTTAATTTGCATTTCAACCAAATGTTGAAAACAAAGCGGAAAAAAATCTCCTTACAAAAGGAAAAAAAAAAAAGATTCCCATTCTTTTACAGTGATATTCCATTAAATTATATCAGAAAATCATATCACTGTTGGATGCAATAAATACTAATTTCAGACATGTTGCCTGTTTATGTTGTTAACTCTCTTTTGCAACTGAACACTGGTAGTTTTGCCTAAGTTTGAATTCCGGCGAATGCATTCGTTGCTTGGTATTTTGTTGAATTTTAGGTTGAAAATATGAATTTACAATTTTTAATAAGGTATAGTATAGGATTATGATTGAAATTTGTTTCAAAATAATCATTGTTTTATAACTTCTATTAACCAATAAATGAGATAAAGGTAAAATTCCCTTTCATAAATATGAAATAAGATAAATGAAATTAATTTGTGGTAAAATGAATTATAAACAATCTGTCAAAATGACCGACACTAAGCATGCGTTTGTTATTTTAATAATCTATTAATTATCATTTACATGTAACTGTCAATAGGAATTAGGTATTTTAAACCTCTGATAAATTTTTACTTAGTGTTAAAGCTTGACAGCTTGAATCAAAAGCAGAAAACAAGTTAAACTATACTGTCTCACTAGTTCGCAAGATTATATTACTGTGATATGCATAGCTATACAAATTAAATTGAAACCTTTATTAGTATTCCACTCAGGATATTTGCACTGTACTAATATATTAGTTTTTTAAGGACTTACTATTCAGCATTATTAACATTCTATAAACGTACGTTAAAATACCGAAATGCAATAAAAATCAGTAAAATTTTTACTTAATAAGCAATTAAAATCAGAAGTGTGCAGTAAATTAGTAGCAAGGCAAAACTCCCTTTTCTGTTTTTTGATTTCCAGAAAAAAATATTTTTCTTCTAACCAAGCATGGACATAAAACTTCTTCCTTCCTCCGTAAGGCAAAATCAGCAGTTTGCTTAATTGCCTCTAGGCAGTAATCAAAGGACGGTCAGCAGGAAACCATCAGTTAAGTTAAATGACATGTTGATTGCCCTACAAGGGGGAAGGGGGAAGAAAATCTAACAAAGGCCATTTTCAGGACAATTTTAGCTCAAGCTAAAAGAAAAAAAATATAAACATGCAGTAATAACTGCAGTTTTCGGAAAGCAAATAGAATCGAATGTGGGTTGTTCAGTGGGTTAAAGTGTATGGGCTTATGAGAAGATTAACACAGCTTCCTAGGTATTATTACACATGAATTAAATGTTTTCTGTATACTGATTTAAACAGCTTTAATTTTTATACATTTATAACTCAGAAAATTATATGCAATTTCATGCTAAACAAGAATTATTTTTGAAAGTGTAAAAGCTAAGTAAAACACAGAATCCATTCTATTATATACCACATTTTATGCAATATAATTATATTCTTCTTAAAAGAAAATGATGCTAAAAGTGAGTAAATTAAACAATACTAGAAAAGTATATTAACATACATTAATGATTGCTTTCATGACAAAAGCATTTTATAACCATATGTGAAAACACACAAAACAATTGTATCCTTACTTACAATTATGCAAGCACTGTATTATTTCAAGTAATAATTTAAGGCCGAACAAGAATATTACTACAAAATTTCAGAAAATAAAAGATTATTTTCAATACAAAATGCATGATCTACAATAATAGGAATAAGGATATGGCATATTTAAAAAAGTTTTATTTTGACTCTTTGTTTGAGCAGAATGTAACAAATCTCATGAAGTGATTATAAAATATGCATGTAAGCACATGGAAGGAATGCAGTCCTCAAAATAAATTATCATTTTGTCCTGTCTTCTTGATAACTTGGAATCAAATAACTGTAGTTTATTGATGATTATTTCTTTCATGAAATTTTGCTGCAAATGTTTGAGCAACAATTACAGGAAAGACTAATGTTGCATCTGCATAAACCTGAAATAAAATATTTTTTTTGTCATTCAGTTTTGTATGGTTAAAACAAATAAGAAAACAAAAGAGGGCGATGGCGAGAGCTTTACTTTTACTGGTTTTGCTGTTTTCTTGATTTTCCCCCATGATACAGCTTCATCTGGTCTAGCTCCCGAATCACTGCCATCATACTCATTGCCTGTATTAATGAAGACAGAATAATCAGCTCCATTCCTCTGCAAAAAATATAAAAACATTAGAAAACTGAAGAGAATATCTCAGAAACACAAGAACTGATTGAAATATTTTGCGACAGACTTTTTTTCGTTTTTTCTGATATTAAACTAAGCAACCCTGTATTGGATTTTGTGAAGTTTAAACATCCACACATTTGAATTTGCAGAAGGACAGCCATGGCTTTCAGTATCTGATTAAAATGAACTGAAGTGTCAAAAATGTTCTGTCATAGAGGGGAAAGAAGACATTTCATAATTATCACTATACAGCAGCAAAGATGCAATAGAATTTTGTCTAAATACATGTGTTGTTAGCTAAACATGTTGTCAATTAAGTGTCATGGACGTGGTAACACCTGTGTGATCAACAACGCATGTTCCTAAAGATTATTCATTGTAGTTACTTATAGTATCAACATTGCACACCTGTGGTTAGGGAATGAACAGTGGCTATTATATGTATATGTTTTGAAAACCGTTTTCATAAACCATGAAGAAGTTTGGATTTGTTCAAGAACACAGTGGATTTGCTCCAGCACAATACATAAGTGTATGCTACTGCTATGACATTGGCAGCACTGTCTGAAATCAATCTTTCAATGCTATAACATTGTGCACATAAACTAGGCTAATAAGTGATTTCTAGACATGCAACACTGAAAAGGATACTAGGGAAGTGAAAAAGCTACATCCATAGTGCTAAAGAGCATACCACAAAGAAGTTTATTTCAGTTTGAAAAAGAAACAAAATACTGCACCTGTATATATATATATATATATATATATATATATATGTACATATACCTCTCTCAAAACTTTCCAGTCAGCTAGTGTGTCTGGTAAGGGATTGGGAGATAATGAAAAAATAAAAAGCCATGCTCAAAGCTTACTACAATATCAGTTATGATGTGCAAAAGGATTATGATGAGAATAAACATATTTTTCAATACTTTTTAGGTATAAAAAGTACTTCAATTCCCATCTGTGTTAAACAAGTAATATATCTTGATTTAGCTGTGCTAAAGGAAACAGATGAATTTCATACAGCAAGCACAGCTAAACTGTAACTTGTGAGCCATGTGTGGATATTTGGCCCCTTAAATGGGGCTTATGTTATAATGAACAATAGTTCTAAATTTGAAATATTTCAACATAAAACTGAACAATTTTAAATAATCATTAATTTTACCTTAAAATTAACACATGTGTTAATTTCAAACAATTTTAAACTATAGACTTTTTCCATAATATACAGTCAAATTCGATTAATTCGACCACCGGATAATCAGACCAAATCCTAAAGAACTAAAACTAATCCTATGTACATAAGCCTGATATTATTCGCTTATTTGGACCAAAAAACGTGAGATCGAATAAGAAACAGAAGCCACAAGTCGGCCGCATACAGCGGATGTACAAGTGGTCTGCGACATATGGGAAGATCTGTAGTTGCAGCTTCCCAGTAAAATGCTTTACCAAAGGTAAAAATTCCTTAAAATGCATGACAAAAGCAAAACCGGTGGGAGGTGAACACGCACACCATTTTCTTTGACCTTTTTAAAACAGAGCCACCAGTAGCCGCCAGAGAGGTTATTGGTCCCATTGCTTCGAGTTTCGAGGAAATGGACAATAGAGTGTCCGGCTCCACCTGAAAGGAATTCCGCCTGTCAATTATGATTAAAGTTTACACGGGAAAGCTATCATTTCACCACCCTTTTGGGATGATTTTAGTACCAAAGCTTTGAATGGCGAGCATTTTTATCTCCCTCTTGACCTCAACATCTTGACCCCGAAACAACAAGGTTTCTTCAGACCACTTTAGTCAGTGAACCGTGCGCGTGTATAGTCTCCCCTGCCAAAATGTCCCGACGGGACTTGACGTTAGCAGAAAAAATTGGTTTCCTGAATAAGATCAAGCAACAACCACGAAACACTAGTCAGCGTCGGTTGTTGGAAATAACCGGATTGGCAAAGACTACAATTTCGTGCTTGATAAAACAAGAGAATGAGCTGCGAGAAGAATGGGCACAATGTGAAGGATGAGGAGGAACTTACAAAAAATGGAAGCGTGAAGGCAGGGACCCAGATCTCGATGAGGACCTTAATGAATGGTTTGCCATTGTTACTGGACAATCTGTGCGAGTAAGCGGCCCAATGTTAAAATGCAAAGCAGAAGAACTCGCTAAAAAGCTGGGCTACGATGACTTTAAAGTTACGGATGGTTAGTTGTCTCGATGGAAATCTACACATGACATAAAATTCAAGAAAGTACATGGAGAGAAAGAAAGTGCTGATAGGGTAAATGCTGAAGAATGGGAATCAACAAAACTGCCCAAGCATCTTGAAAATTTTTCAGCAGATGACATCTACAATGCTGATGAGACTGGGCTGTATTATCATGCTACACCGGACGGCTCATTAAGTTACAAACATGTTGCACTCTCTGGCTCCAAAAAAGCGATGGATCGCTTAACTGTCTTGTGCTGCTCAAACATGTCGGGAACGGACAAGAGGAAACTGTTGGTTATGGAAAAAGCACTAAGCCTCGTTGCTTTAAATGACTTAGGACGGAGAGTTTACCAGTTGTGTATTGTGCAAACAGAAACGTGTGGATGACCCCTGAACTTTTTACAGAATGGCTGAAAGGATTGGGACAGAGAGCTACAATGCCAGTCGAGAAAAGAGCTGCTTCTTCTTGACAATTGTGAAGCACATCCTAATTTAGATTGTTTGATGAACGTCAAACTGGAATTTCTACCTCCCAGAACCACAGCTTTGGTCCAGCCAATGGACATGGGCATCATAAAAAATTTGAAGACCCTTTATTGTGCAAGGTTGGTTAATTACATCCCTGAAGCAATTGAAAAAAGTTTGCTGACCTCATCGTCAAAAGCCAGCGAAGTCAGTTCAAAGGCCAACATCTTACATTTGTGGCCGACAGCTGTCAAAAAGTGAGCAGTGAGACAATTCAGAACTGTTTTTCTCACTGTGGCTTTAAGCACATGGTTTTGGAGATGGATGTGGACATGCTCATTGAAAATGAAAAGGATGACAGGCATGTGGAACTTCAACAGCTACAAAACTGGGAAGAATTTTCATCTATCGACAACAAGCTTCAATGCCTCGATGAAAATGAAGATTATGACGAAGCAAAACATACGACAGTATTGGAAGACCAAAAAAGTGATGATGATGATGCCACTAATAAGTTGGCGCAAGTGACAACACAGGATGCGAGGAAATGCATTGAAACTTTGCATCAGTATTTCATTCAGGAGGGAAATGAAGGCAGTCCCATTGCTGCATTAGATGTTTGTGGCGATTTCGTTCACGTGCTATCTGTCATAAGTTCTTCAAATGTTGACTAGAACTTGGTAAGAACTTGTTTATATTGTGCTTCGTACGCTGAGTATCGTGGAGATTGTTTCTTAGAATTTGTTTCTAAATTAATTTTATGAATGAAAAAAGTTCGACCGTATTTCTTGTTTGTACATGTATGTTCATCATATGTGTGTACTGCACCATAAAGTTAATAATTACATTTTAGTACATGATTTACACGTACATTTACAGTTTGCTACACATAGCACGTCCCATCTTACAACACAGGACATGTTCGTGTAATCGGACCAGCCGGCTATTAGGATGAAAACGATCGCTTCCCGATGTGGTCCGATAACCAGAATCAACTGTATTAAAATGGTGATATTTCTTCCAGAACATGTAAGAAAAGCAAAAAAAAGTACATTTGGAAAATGCAATTTTGATGATGTTGATATTTTGAATCTTACTGAATGGTGTTATAAATATGTTTAGCTGTAAACTGCAGTGAAAGAAAAAGCATATTTGATGGCCCAATTTGCATTAAATGAATTAATTAAATGTTTCAGTTAAACTTTTATTTCCATATTTCAACCCTTACCTTAGTTGTTTAGGAAAACTAAATTTTGTTTTTAACGCAAAACCTCTGCTAAATTGACTGCTTACTTTAAATAATTTTCGCATATTGAATTGCAATTGCTTTGTAAACCACTCTCTCATCTAATTTGTTTTAGAATTAAAAGTAAATTAAAATCCTCAGCTTTCTCCAATGTTATTGCATTATTCCTCTTTAATCAGATGAGAAGTTTTTTTGTAAAGTCCACTACATTTTTTTTCTCCTGTTAAAAGGAAGAAATGCCAACAAAGAGTTCTACAGTCAAAAGTCGTTAATTCGGACCTCAAAGCTACAAACTTTCTGCGCATGCGTCGCTTTGATGCACGCGCATAGGCGTTTATGCGTGCGCGTAAGACCTTTACGGCTGCAAATATATGTGTGCACATGCGCGTTTAATGTATAACGGACGGTAAAAGGTAAGCTAAAATTATCTAATTATGTTAATGTTGCAGATTGCGTTGTTCCTTAATCTTCGAATTGGATCCGACTTATTATTTTTTGCAGATTGTTAGAGCAATTTTATAAAAGTAAGCTTGAACTTTCGATTATGTCAAATAGAATTTTCGATATATATTTACTAATATGTAAAGGATTTATAAAGCGAAAGTATGTTTCAAAATCCGAAATCTGTTTATCAATTTCACGCTGCTCTGCGGCGAGGGGAGGGGGGCAAACGCCGTGACGCATAATGAATTGGAAGTTGATCTGTAAGCACTATCCTTATCTTCACGGCAGATGTTTTTATTTTATTTGGCTTATAATTCCTTACTAAATGTAGTATTTCATGTCGATGTACTCCGTCTTTGATATGATTTAAAGCAATTATAGGACTTGAACAGCGGAACTTTGTAACTAAACAAGAAATTATGTCTGTTTAATAGAATTAAAGAGAAAGTATTATCACATGAAAGGAATCAACTTAAACAACTTACATTGAAAAAAATGTTTAATAAAGTAAACAAATAAATATTAAGCTTTTTTTTTTTGTAAATTTTGATACCCTTTAGATCATAATTGTTCTTTATTTCATAAATTACGGTTTCATATTTGTAATTTTGTAATT